TTTCTTGGAATGAGTACAGTGGGAGATACATGAGTTTTGTTTCCAAAAAACCTTGAGATCCAATACCTGCTCTGTAGTATCATTAGGTCCACCTGCATGTTCAATGCCCCCTTCCATACCTTGGGTTAATGTGAACCTGAATCAGGAGATTCCTGAATGCAACACTGGATCAGGTTTGGCAACAACTCACATCATTGGTTAGATCACCCGTAGTGTGGTTTCTAACTCTAATGACCAATCTCTTATTTGCTTCCCAGTTCCTAGCCCTTGTGCCCTAAGTCTTGTTGCTAGGTTTCTGCTTTGATTTCTCTTCCTGGTTTATAAACTGTAGGTACCACACTTGGTTTCTAGGGCCTGGGTCCTGACTCATTCTTGCCAAGCTCCTGGGACTTTACTGCCTGCGTTTTAAGACCTCCCTGGTGTGAATGCTTGCCTCTCTCTACTTCTGAGCCTTCTCTCACCCCACCTCCTGCCACCCAAACTCTGCATCACTGAGATTTCCCACGAAGTTTGTTCTCTTCCACCCATAATCCTGCCAGGGGGAGTTGGTTGTTAAAGCTGTGCCCATCACAGAGACAAATCTGTTGGCCAGCTGAACCTCCTTCATTTGCACCTGGGTCAGTGTTCTGGACTCCTATTCTGCTGCAGTGGGAAAGGCTGAATCCCAGACCTGCCTGTCCCATACCTTCAAAAGTGACTGATGATGTTGAGAAGAATGGCAAGATATAACAATGGATGCCCAGGAGTGACTTTTCCTCATTCAGGGGTGACTGTGCCAAAGAGTGGGCAACTGAAGCTCTATGTGTAGGAGAAGATGAACAGTGAAACGACGGACTATGTTGAAAACCAGTGTTCCATGTCGCTCCGGTCACTCCCGATCCTCCTCCTTGAGTTCTTGCTGGCAAAATATACAACCACTGCTTTGTATTTTTACACACCCACCGGATACTTAGAGAGTACTCCTTCACAGTGCTTAGCTGTTCTCATGAAATGAGAAAAGACACGTACAAATGTCTTTTAGTCGACCTGCTGAAGAAATTCCACAGCAAACAACCCCTCCCATATTCTACAGCACTCCACTAAATGAGGGCAAGATCACAGATGGGAAGGGCTTTGGGTTTAACAAAGCATTTGATCAAATTTTTCATGATTCTCATGTGGAAGGAATGGAGATGTTTGATTTGAACAAAAGCAACTAGTTGAATAATGTAAGAACACAAAGAGTATCAACTACAGATCAGTACAAACTTGGAGAGCTTTACCATGTTTCTAAAATGAAGGAGATAGACTAGAGTGTTGTTTCCCAGTATTTAATATAAAAGATGATTTTGGCTGTGCATTAAGATTTTTTATTTTCATATTTATGCATTTATTTTAATGTGTATTAGAAAAAGTATACTACCCCCAAGTCCCATGATTTCATATATTAAAGTGTAAAAATTGAGGCAACTCAAAAAGAAGTATTTTAATAAAGTAGTAAAGGTAAAAACTATTCAATCTCCTTAGAAGTCATTCTGAGAATACCACAATCCTATAACCCAGCAACTTCCCTTTTAGAAATTTGCCATGCAGAGATATCTGCCCAATTATACGAAGAAAGTATGTTCATTGCAGGTTTATTTGTAACAACAATAGCAACAAAAAACAACAGGCAAATCTCAGCTGACTAAATGACCATTATTGAAAGTGAAAGTGAAGGCTCTCAGTCGTGTCCAACTCTTTGCGACCCCATGGACTGTAGCCCACCAGGCTCCTCAGTCCATGGGATTCTTCAAGCAAGAGTGCTAGAGTGGGTTGCCATTTCCTTCTCCAGAGGATCTTCCCGACCCAGGGATTGAACCTGTGTCTCCCACATTGTAGGCAGACGCTTTACCATCTGAGCCACCAGGAAGTCTAAATGACCATTATTGAGAGACATATAAACACGTTATTACACATTGTTATCCATGGAATGTCCTCTTTCTTTAGCTTTTAAGACAGTGGTTCTCCAGCATCAAAACATGTATTATATTATCTAGGGTGAAACAGATCACCAGCCCAGGTTGGATGCATGAGACAAGTGCTCGGACCTGGTGCACTGGGAAGACCCAGAGGGAGCGGGCAGAGAGGGAGGTGGGAGGGGGGATCGGGATGGGGAACACATGTAAATCCATGGCTGATTCATGTCAATGTATGACAAAACCCACTACAATATTGTAAAGTAATTAGCCTCCATAAAGCAACTGGTTGAATAATATAAGAACACAAAGAGTGTTGACTGTGGGTCAGTGTGAACTTGAAAGAGCTTTACCACATCTCTAAAATGAAGGAGATGAACTACAGCATTGTTTCCCAATATTTAATATAAAAGATTTCTGGTTCATTAGGATTTTTTAGTTTAATATTTATGTATTTATTTTAGTGTCTACTAGAAAATGTTTACTATCCCAAAGTCCCATGATTTCATAGATATTACTTGTGTAAAAATTGAGGAAATTCAAAAAGGAATATTTTAATAAAGTAGTAAAGGTAAAACCTATTCAATCTCCTTAGAAGTCATTTTGAGAACACTATAATTCTAAACACATCCTATAGTCCAGCAACTTCATTTCTAGAAATTTGCCATATAAATATATCTGCCCCCAAGTAGACAAAGAAAGTATGTTCACTGCAGTTTTATTAATAACAACAAAGAAAAAACAAAACAAAATGATCATTATTTAGAGCACACCCATGTTACTGCACATCCATGCAATGGCCTCTTTCTTTGCCTTTTAAGCCAGTGTTCTCAACTGGGCAATAATTTTCCCCCCAATAGGACATATGGCATTGCCTGGAGACAAGTTCTGGTTGTCACAGTGGAGGCAGGAGTGCTACTAGGACCAGGTGGGTAAAGCCAGGAATGCAGCTAGTCATCCTACAATGCACAAGACAGACCCCCACAGCCAAGAATTATCCAGTATTGATAATTAATAATCCCAAGGATGAAACATCGTGGTTAAAGCACAATTGCTTTCACTGTTGCTCCTGTTCTCATTCTTTTAATTCCATCACAAACCAGAGATTAGGTATCTACTCATCCCTTATTACCTTAAATTCAAACAACAGTTTCATCTGTTGCAAAGTGAGCTCTTTTAGTGAGGAGACATGGTCAATTTAACTTTGTAGCCCCAGAACCAACAATGAAGTGGTCTGCCTTCGGAATGAATGAACTAAGAAAAAGCAGAGCCAAGGAGCCAAGGAGCACACTCTGGCCTAGAAAGAGGCAGCTGGCATTGTTACAGAACAGGGCTTATAACAGGTATATTTTACATTACTTGTTTTTATCTCCCCATTTCCCTCCTGCTACTTTATCTGAGTTCACTAATGATGCTGTATAGCTTTAAGGTGAAAGTATGGACAAATGAACACCGTCCCATGATGATAAATAGTTGAGGGAACTTTGGGCATCTTTTGTGTTGGGGACATGAAATTTTACCTGCATCTCAGACAAGGAAGGACACGAGGGGCAAACAGGGTGGAACGTAACAGGTATTTCCCAATCATCCCTCTTCCTCCCCATCCTTCTCCACCTTGCTCTCCAACCCTGGAAGTCAGTCTGTTTGGACTACATCCAATTAGCTCAGTAGGCTCTGCTTTACTGGAGGGTGGAGGAGAGTGAGGTCAGGGTGTTTACTCCCCTGATCTTTCCCGGTGAAGTCACATCAAGGTGACTGTATCCCTCCATCGAGAGTCACTGCTCCTCTCAAGGAAGACTGCTCTATCTGACTCTCTCTTCTTCCAGCATCAGATAACCTCTTCCTGGAATAGCTCCACTGTTCTAACCCTGACTTCCTACACTAGCTCTGTGGTTCCCCTATGTGTGTGCGTGCAAGTTCAATCTTAGTCATGACCGACTCTTTGCGACCCCATGGACCGTAGCCAGCCAGGCTCCTCTGTCCATCTAATTTCCCAGGCAAGAATATTGGAGTGGGTTGCCACGCCCTGCTCCAGGGGATCTTTTCAACTCAGGGATCGAACCCATGTCTCCTGCGTCTCCTACATTGGCAGGCAGGTTCTTTACCACTGTGCCACTTGGGAAGGCCGTGGCTCCCCTACACCATTCCCAAAACTCTGTAATTAATCTCTTTGTAAATAAACCCTCCTCAAATTACCTTAATTTGAATGTATATCTGTTTTCCTTCAGTTCAGTTCAGTCGCTCAGTCGTGTCCGACTCTTTGTGACTCCATGAATCGCAGCATGCCAGGCCTCCCTGTCCATCACCAACTCCCGGAGTTTACCCAAACTCATATCCATCGAGTTGGTGATGCCATCCAGCCATCTCATCCTCCGTCTTCCCCTTCTCCTCCTGCCCCTAATTCCTCCCAGGGTCTTTTCCAATGAGTCAACTCTTCGCATCAGATGGCCAAAGTGTTGGAGTTTCAGCTTCAACATCAGTCCTTCCAATGAACACCCAAGACTGATCTCCTTTAGGATGGACTGGTTGG